ATCACTTTCTTGAATGGTAGCAATAGTAGGAAAACCTCATGCTCGAGGACCCAGGGACTGACAGTTGATTTTTAGTCAGCGACTGACAGCCACTGGGTCTCCGAGGATGGGAAAATCTGGTCACTATTACAAATCTATTGATAACTCTTTTTAAGCTTTAACTACAGCGCGTTCAGTTGAGGTTAGTAATTTCTTAATAAGCAGAGAAGCACCCCCTCGATCATTTTGTGAAGGCCCCTCATGAAAACCTCAATTGTGTGGCCTCATGGTTGATGCGCTCGACTCCGGATTGAGTGTGGTCCGGGTTCGAGCCCCGGCGAGGGACATTGTGTTATGTTCTTAGGCAAACCACTTTACTCTTACAGTGCCTCTCTTCACCCAGGTGTATAAATGGGAACCGGCGATAATTATACGTAATGCCAGAAGCGCGCATTACGTATAGTTTTCCCTGATAAAGAATATGACGAGGCGCTAGCGTGCACTGGGCTTATCTCGCTGCATGAGCGGCGCGAGAATATTGCCAACAAGCTCTTTTCTAACGTTCTTGCACCAAATCACAAGCTGCACAAGCTCCTGCCGCCCAGGTATGTATCTAGGGTGGACTTAAGGGAAAAGCGCGCTTTTAATTTACCTGTCGTTCGTACGAACAGGTGCTATCATAGTTTTATTTTTCATCATTTACGCACGCTTTGTATAAGCTGACTCTATCTATGTTACCTAATTTTTAATATTTTAAAAGTATGTTACCATTTTTATATATTTCTTAAATTTGTAAATGAATACGTAATTCATCCTTCGGTGGCAATGTTTTTCAAATAAACTGTCTATCTCTATCTCATCTCTAATGCTGGGGGTAACCTTGTAATGGACTAGCATCCCATCTAGGGGGGAGTAGAAATACTCCTAGTCGCTTCATGCTACAGAAACCGGAGTTAAGCGCCGGCCTGATGGGCCACTGGCTCGTTAACAGACTTTACCTATAAATCCCTTGGCGCCTTCCTTTCAACTACTGCCCCTCCTTTTAGTCGAAGCTTAAATGCGCGACTGAGCACTTATTCGAGGAAATACGGTATGTCAAGGAAATTCTGAACAACTTTGCGAATTTTGGCTGTATAGCTAATTACGTAAGTTCTCTAACTGGTGTTTACAAGGAACGAAATGGGAGGTGAGCTACAATGAATTGTAATCACAGAATAGTATTCAGGTGTCCTCAGAGTTTATCAGTAGAATCGAACTCCTCCCAGATACCAGTTGGGTGCTACTACCAGATAAACTACGAAGGCACAGGTTCGGAAATATCTTTTCAAGTTTTAATGAATCCTTGAGCTCTGTTCGCGAAAAGGAATCGGATCTCTGAAGTTCGCCTGCGAAGACCATTTCTTTTAGATGATGAACCACTTAGTCAAAATATGACTCACTGGTACCAGGCGACGACAGGTGACGCGGAAAGCCTCTAATGACACGACGCGTTGTGGATATAAACTTGGCGTATACGATAACGAAAAGAAAACTCTATGCGAATGTTAAGTATAATTTTCATGATCGTTGCACGTATCTAACACTGCAAGCTGTTTTTTCTTTTCTCGGCAGATAATTTTCATGATTAGTGCACGCAATGCCACTGTATCGACCAACAGTAAACAAGTCGGCTTGCGGCATTCACGCGGTGTAAATATGTTTTAGTTTTCGGGTCCGAGTTTTCGAGACACCCAGAGGGTCTGAGTTTTTCGGGTTTGAGTTTTCGAGATACCCAGAGGGTCTGAGTTTTTCGGGTCTGGGGTCTAAGTTTTCGAGGTCTGAGCTTTCGGGGCACAGCTAAGGGTGATAATGATAACTAAACGATACGTATGATGCACGATCCTCGCAGCAGAGAGCGCTGTTTATCCAATAGCGAAAATCAGACCTGAAAAAATCAGGTCTGGACGGGATTCGAACCACTGACCTCTGCGATACTAGTGCAGCGCTCTACCGTATGATGCACGATCCTCTACTGCGAGAATCGTGCATCATACGTATCTAT